CATATAAGAGGATATAGCTTACAGATACCACAGAGGCAGACATAGAACTCAATACAATACTGCCTTTCAGGAGGGGGCCCGCAATGTCCTAGTGCTACCTTATTAACTATGTAATGGCTTTTTCATTCAACTTCCTTAGAAAGCCATAGATTTTCTGAGACGTTTTGTCGGGTTGAAATATACACAACCAGAACAAAAAAAAAAAAAAAAAAAAAAAAAAAACACTTTCAGGTGAAACACACACACACACACACACACACACACACATACACATACACACACACACACACACACACACACACACACACACTGTAGAAAACTACTGTGCATTTAGTATTTCAAATGGAACACTTTTCAGGGGTTAGGCAAAGCGAAAGTGTGGTAGAACAATGCAGACAACAAAGTTTCCAAACAAATGAGCTCATAAAAACACTCCACACCCAGCTTCTTTCCTACAGCTCCCCTCCCCTTCTCCAGACATAATTAGCTTTTCAGCTTAAAAAATAATAAATTTGGCAATTTTTAAAGAGAGAATGAGATATGTAAAGAGTGTCTAAATTAACAAGTACCACTTACTTCAGACAGCATAGCCTTCAAGGGGCCCTAAAAACTTAAGAAAAGGATACTAAGACAGGAAGCTTAGTGAGCTCATAAAACCATGGCTGGAGCCAGGAACACATAGCATATTTAATCTGCAAACTGTGAGAGTCCACAGTGACTTCAGCAAGATCTGAGGCATGCCCTCAAGGTTTGCTGGGATCTGGGATTAGGGGGTTGATAAGAACCTCTACTGCCCATGGACATGTTTTTCTTCTGCAGTTAAACACAAATGCATGGAGACATTTGACTGCTGCTTGGCGTTACTGCTCGAGTTATATAAAAGCTTTTGCAGCTCCTTTTGCTGTCAATATATCAAAGTTTAAAAAAAAAATCATCAAAGTGTGAAATTTCATTTAAAGTCTTCACCAGTCTACAGCTCTATTTCACAGGCCCATCAAATAAAAGTAAAGATGAAAAATATACTGGAAAGTACTTGAGAAAGTTTGCAGCAGCACCCGGCCCTGTTGTAGTTTATTGTCTGCCTCTATTTGCTTTGAAAGTAGAAGAGATCAATTTCCATGTAGAAAACTGACAACGTGAAGGGAAGAGCAGCAGCTTCTCCAGGGCTTTAATGAGAAGACAACCTGAAATCATTATTAGAGAACCTTTTGTTTAACAAATACATGTATGTGTTTGTTCTGTAGCCATTTCAGCCTTTGATTGCCTCTCGATATAAAAGTTGGCAGAAAATTCCTTAAATCTTCCAAAGCAAATCAGACCAACCTCAGAATATGAATGCCAGGAGACCTAAAACCTCCTTCAAAGAACTCTTCAGCTGGGGATTTACAACAATTGCAGAAAGAAGAAAAGTCTGACTTTTAAGATAATCTACTATCGTCTAAAAGCATTAACATTCCATTACTAAGGTTTTCCTGAACATTTCATGACTCATTGATTCACATTTTCGAGACTGATTTTTCTTAGAACATTGCTGTCTCCATATAAGTGAGTGCATACAACAGTGAGCACTAAACTGTTTCCTTTCATAAGCTTCCAAACTGTCCTCAGAAATCAGGGAGGGGAATGCAGCAAGCAGGATGGATGCCTTACAGGAGATTCACTTCTAAATGCCTGAGCCCAGAGGAAGTCTGTAACTCTTGCAGCATGCAGGTCATTAAGAAAACTTCACTGGCTTCAAAACAAAGGAGAGTCCAACTTTTAGGCTTTTGGAAACCAATTGATAAATTAACAATTCTTTCATCAAGTAAGTAATGAAATAACTCAACAGAGCCATTTTTCTTCAATGCTGAATTTTCTCCTGTCTGTCTGTGGTCCTTTGCAAATTAGACATACAATAAAAACTGTATGTATAGCAGAGTTCAATCAAGGAGTACGAGCGTGTAAAAAGCAAAGGGAATTGGTAGGCATCTGAGCTAAACCTGCCAGTCTATTAGCAATAAAGCAATCTATATCTTTTAAAGTGTTTCTGCCTGTGTGAAATTTCAGCAGACACCTCTTGCATTGAACTTATTCATGCATCTAAACCAAAGCTTCCCTAGGCTGACTTCAAGAATTATATACCCTGAAAGGATCTCCCCTTAGGCGGAGAGTTTCTAATTAAATAGCTTTTAGTGTAAAATAAACTCTCTGCTCTGTATAAATATGCAATTTCAGCTAATTTAAATGTTATTTCATGTTTGTTTTAAGGTCTGACTATAATCTAACTGGCCACAGAGCTTGTGGACCAGATTGTTAAAGCCAATATTTCCTAACATAAACAAATCCTGTAGATACTCTGCACAGTTTACATTGTTAAAACCAATCACCACAGCCTTAATATATCCTCTACTGCGCTGCCTTAGAAAAATGAAGTGATTCTGAGGTTTTCACTATTTTAAAACATAGCATTTTCCTGCTTCAAAATAATCTTGACACATGTAATTAAGAAACTGTCAGACTATTATTAATTTTTAATTTAAAACCCAAATGAAATAATTACAGGAATCAATCAATAAGGCACCTATTCAAATTACAGAGCAATTACATAAATACTCAAAATTAATACTTTAGGCCAGTTCTTGAAGAATTTCGTCTATAAACTCGTGAAGACATCAAACAGTACAACCTTATGACATGAGAATGAAAGAAGGGTTTCCCCTAAAATAGACTAAAATGATATTATTTCAGATGGCATGGCACAGCCCCCCTTCCCCCAACCATGCCCAATGCTCTCAAGCTGCAACTCTTTTTCTAGAAGTTATTTCCACCAGACATGCATATTTCAGAAAGTGAGAGACAGAGAGAAGAAAGAAAGGAAGAGAGAGAGAGAGAGAGAGAGAGAGAGAGAGAGAGAGAGAGAGAAAGAAAGAAAGAAAGAAAGAAAGAAAGAAAGAAAGAAAGAAAGAAAGAAAGAAAGAAGCCAGCCGCCTCATCCAAGTTCTGCACAAAACCGTTTTTTGGGGGGGGGGGTAACCACTTGAATGTTCAGCACAGTGCATGTACTGGGCTGTGAAAAGCTGTAATTGAGGAGGAAAAGGAGAGGAAAAGAAGGGCACGAGGTGTTTTTGGAACTAATAATACCAGCGGGGCTAATGGCACTGCCCCTGTATTTGCACAGCGGCCGGCCCTCCATACCTCGGACTAAAGAGTTCTTTTACTTGAGGACGACAGTCCATCATTTCAAACTGAAGTGGCAGCTGGAAAATGTGGAACAGCTGGCACAGAGCTGGGAGAAAATGTTTTACATAAATATATGTACATATAAACTGGCAGAGGGCCATGAGCACTGTACCCAAGGCCAGAATCTACAACCAAGTTGGGGGAGGAGGGAGGGTAAACGCAGTGCAGGAAAACTTCCCTAAGTGGTCTTTACCCTCTTTCTCTCTTTCTTCTCTCTCTCTCTCTCTCTCTCTCTCTCTCTCTCACACACACACACACACACACACACACACACACACATAGCCAAGAAAGCCTGGGGGAGTGTTGGGTGTAGTATGGCTTGGTACTCAAAAAGGTGCACTCCGGGACACAGGCACAAAGTTCACAGAAGGATACTAAGTTCATCAAAGGATAATAAGCAAAGGCCGGGCCGAGTGTGAGGGCATGTGGCCATCTGCTGAAAAGTCGCCTCACCAACTATTCAAGTAAGTGTATGATCAATATTAACTCCGCCACATCCTCAGGCCCCGCTGCAACTCCAGAAAGTAAGTGTCCCAAGCAGAGTAGAGTGATCCATGCCCAACTCTGCTCTGCAAATTCGGCCTCTTGATTACTGCAAGGGCCATGGCTACTTTTCTTTCTTTCTCTTTTCTTTCTGCTCTACCTCTGGAAAGGAAGAGACAGAATTCCAAATCACGCACAGATGGTACAACTTTCACTTTTCCTCTCCCACCGCGGAGGCGCGCCCTCCATCCGCTCACCCTGCACCCCCACCCTCAGAAGTGAAGGCGGGACCCGGGAGAGCGGGGCAGCGGCGGCCCGGCGCATCCCCAGGCGCTGCGCGCAAGCTGAGCTGCCACTTGCTGGGGCGCGAGGACCAGCCGCAGCTCCGGGTTCCCCAAGCTCTGCGCAGCACTTGGCGAGGAGTAGGCGCGGGCGCGGGCGCTGCCGCTGCAAACTTGATCTGCGCACCCTTGGGCAAGAGCTCTGCAGTTGGGAGCATCGAGACCAGACCCCAAGAGCGCGGGAAGGCGCGAGCGCACAGAAGCCGCTCCGACGCCGCCAGGAGGCTCGACAGGGCGGGCTGCGGGGTCCGCAAAACAAAGAACTTCAAGCGGGACGTACCTGCGGCTTTGGCTGTCAGGTCCCAAATCCACAGACCCGCGCCGGCGGAGCGGCAGACGGCTCGGGCTACCGTGGATGGCCGGACTGATCGCAGTGTGCGGCCGCAGCGGGCATGGTGTGGCGCGGGCCGGCGACGGGACGAGCGGGCGCGGAGGGGAGCAGCAGGCGGGCGGACGAGTGTGCGGGCGCCGGCGGCGCGGCCCGGTCCGCTCCCTCCCGCCGCTGCAGCCCGCGCATCAGTTTCAGGGATCCTGTAATCTGATCCCTCTGAGTCACCGGCCCTGAGTGACAGTTCTGATTTGGTTCAACCGCGGGTGGGAGGAGAAAGAGAAAGAAAGGAGCCCCCGACCGTCAAGTCGACTTTCAACGACTAGGGCCCGTCCAGGCCAAGCGCCCGGGTTGCAAAAGTTGAGCTGCGCCGCGCGCGCCCTTCGTGCTCCCCTCCGCGCGCTCCTGCGCTCCTCCTCTTCCCCGCCCTCCTTCCCCAAGTTTTCACAGATGTGGTCAGACTCTCCTCTCCTTCCCGGCTCCTTCTTCCCTCGCGCGCCCCCACCCCCGCCCGTCCCTCTAATTTCCGCCACTCGGAGGAGCGCTGGGGGACGCGCCGAGCAGCGGGAGGACGCCGCCGCCGCAGGGGGCGAAGTTGGTTAAAAACTTGGGAGTACTGCTCGTCTTACTTTGCTTTCCCGCTCCTTCCAGGCCGCGCCCGGCGGGGTCCCGCTCGGCGCGCGGATCCCAGTGCGCTGCGCTGCGGGCGGCACTGAGGCCGCGCGTCGGGCCGGGCAGGGCTGGCGCGGGCAGCCGGGAGCCACGCGCTCCACCGCCTCTGCCCCTCCCGGGTCCTCACACAGACACATCCAGGCCTGCTCCTCCTCTTCCCCCTCCTTGACCCCGCGCCCGCGCGGCGCGCCAGGCCCCACCCACCCGGCAGGAGGAAGGGGCCCGCGGGTGATGTCACCCGAGCCCTCCAGGCCTGCGCTCCCGCGCTGCTGAGCAGCCGGGGCTCGCGCGCCGCGGGCGCTTCACCCATGCCTTCTCTCTTCTCTTTCCCCCAACCCCCCGCTTTCGGGTTGGACTCCCCTTCCTTCTCCAGAGACCTCACAGATCACCACTGCCCCACCCCCGCGCACCTCCTGGTACTTTTCCCTAGGCCAAGCCTGAAACTTCCTCTCGCGGGATGATGCTTTTGAAAGTTGAGGACTTTCCTCCCCGTTGCGTTCAACTCTGTCTGGGAAGTCTCACCGTACAGCCTGCTGTCCCCAATGGGCCACTTTATAAAAGACACAAAGACGGGAGCTGGGAGCCCGGACTTGAACGGGGTGCTTTTCCTTAAGATGCCGAGTGCCTGTCCTTGATTTCTTTTAAAAGACTCCTGTTACTTCAACTGGCCAGTCCACACGCATCTCTCTCTCCCCATCCAGGTACTCACCCCAACCTGTAACTTGGAAGGGAGGATCTCAAGGGGGAGGAAGAAAGAAGAAAACCCAAGAGACATTCCAGAATACCGGAGTAAGCAAGCGGTCGGCCTACCTACCCAGCCAGAAGTGCCTTGGTGCTCAGGGTGCTCTGGCGGCTGTCTTGAAAGCAGAGAGTGGGTGGATGAATAGCTATTATAATTTGAAGAGCATTTAGAAATTCACATGCTTAACTGGAGAAAAATTTTTAACGGAATTGACAGTAGTATTCGTTATTTGTTTCTGGTAACTTGTTGCTTATGACAAAGACAAAAGCGGAGAGTGGCTTAAGCTTTCTTTCTGTGTAGAAGCCCTGGAAATAAAGGAGTGCTCCGGCTATGTCTTTAGCCATTTCTAAGCTTTCTCGTAATCATTCTGTAAAGCAAAAAGAAGGGGGAAGAATGGAACACCCTTCACTCATCTCTGAGTGCAGGGATTTCAGCAGAGGTAACCCCAACACTCTCCTCGATAACTGGCCTCAGGCCCCAGAACATTTCCCTCAGCCTCTTTAGGCTCTGAGCCCATCAGTGGATGAGTGAGAAATAACAATCCTCCTAAGTCCCGGGACAGCTATGGATCTCCAGTGAGATTATACCTATAAAGTTATAAAAGACGATATGGTGTGTGAGAACTGTTTTCGTTTTGGAATTGCAAGTTAGTCAGAGGGCTGCTGTGTTTCCCTAATGTCTTATACATTGTTTCTGGCATTTGGGACTGCTGCTGCCTCCACTGTGAGAATGCAAATATTGCATCCTGATATTTTTCTCTGCTTATCCAGTGGCAAAAGGGACAGCCCATAAATCAACAAGCATAAAATATATATTTTGACTTTTACTTCTAACAGTCTCCCAGCACATTCTGAGTCATAAGGATCTTGATCTGGGGTTCTAAAAACACTGTAACAAAGAAAAAATTGCAAAGTTTCCCATCGTGCTATCAGAATTTTGCTAACAACCAAGAAGGAGCTCTGCTTTGCATCCTGTGTTTTGATTTCCTCACCTGAGGAGAGGTGGGCAACTCTGATTGGCTGATAAACACACATGTAAGTGGACACGTTTTGCAGAAATGATGAAGAAAAAAATTGCCTTGCTGTGAGTTAAATAATGCCACAGAATTTCAATACATGTTAGCTTCATATTGCCTAGGGAAATCTTGGATACAAATCCCAAAATGAAACAAGAGGAATTCTTGAAGTTGGAGTGGGCCTTAAAATTGGAACCTTAAATCTTTTACATCAGCCAATTCCTGTCCTACAGAGGCTCCCAGGACATCTCCAATGTAGGATGCATAGGGAAGAGACTATTCCTCAGTTCCCTCTGAATTCCATTCTTATACATTCACTTCCTGCTTTTTCCCATCAGTAGTCATTTCAAATACAAATTTCTTGGGAAATTTTAATGTCATATGTCATGTTAGTTTTTTGTCAACTTAACACCACCTAGAAACATTTGGGGAAAGGGACATTCAATTGAGAAAATACTCCATAAGATTTGCCTATAGTGAATTCTTTTGACTTAACAATTGATCAGGGAGAGCCCAGCCCACTATGGGGGGTTTCACACTTAGGCAGATGATCCTGGGTTATATAAGAAAACAGGAAGAACAAGCCATGGGGAACAAGCCAGTAAGCAGCACTCCTCCATGGTCTCTGATTAAATTTCTGCTTCCAGGTTCCTTCCTTGAGTCCCAGCCTTGGCTTCCCTCAGTGATAGACTGTGATCAGGAATTGTAAACCAAACCAACTCTTTCCTCCCTAAGTTGCCTTTGGCCATGGCTACAGCAACAGATACCCTGAGATATCCTCACAATATTTAAACCTTTAAGATGAATTTATGGCCTAACAACCATCTTGTTAATTTGTCAGCATTGTTGTAGCAAGCTATTATGCAGTTATGGCTTAAACAAGGCAGGCACTAACTTATATCTCTGAGAACCAGAATGTTAAGTCATAGTGTCTACAGGGCCAGTGTTTGCCTGCAAAATGAGGCGAAAGTCATCCTTGCCCTGATCTGTTTGCTATTCCTTGGCTTTTGGCTACTTTCCTTATTTCTGCCTGGGTCATCTTAAGTCATTCTCCTTGTACCCATTTCCTCATATGGAGTTGAGAGCTGTGGCCTATTCCACTTCAGTCAGACTTTGCTTTAACTAATTTCATCTACAGCCTTATTTTCAAATAAGATAGTATTCTGAAGTTCCTGGGATGAGGATTTCTTTTTGAGAAGTAGAGGGCACAATTCAATTCAGCAACATTGTCCCACCTGGGTTAATTTGGGGGCTTGGTCTTCAGAATACTGGTGTTGAGATGATTGAAACCATTAAAAGGTGGAACACTCGTTGATGAGTGTGCCTATGGAAGAGAATAAGTTATAGCCATAGTTGTTCTCAAGAAATCAAACTTATAACAGAGCAAGGAGGATGCCTTCCGATTCTCTGGATTCCTGTCTCACTATCTGGGAGCCTAAGATATGTTCCCACTTCATTACTGTCATGACTCCAGAGGTCAAACTGTTGAGGACTCAGAATCTTGAACTTTCAGATTTTAAAGTTCTGCTGAATAAGCCCTTTTGCTTTATAAAGAATTGAGCCTCAGAGTATTTGTTAAGAACTATTTTTTATTCGTGTGTGTGTATGTGTGTGTGTGTGTGTGTGTGTGTGTAGATATACATTGTGTGGTGGGAGAGGCTGCTTTTAGGAGCCAGAAGAAGGCATTAGATTGATCACCCAGAGCTAGATTTACAGGCATTTTTGAGCTGCCTGGGAACCAAAGTTAGGTCCTCTGCAAGAGCAGTACCCACTTGAACCACTGAGCAATCTGTACCCCCTATAATTTGTTACAGCAAGGAGAAACAGACTAATAAGGACAAGAAGATTAAAGTTAATGAAGGGTCTGCAACAGAGAAGACACACTGGAGTCGAACAACAGCTTCACATGCTCCTCTTTATGCTTTCTCTGTCATATTTCTCATCATAAATATTCTTGCCCCAACGAAGGCTGTGTTTTTTTTTTTCGTCTTCTTGTGTAGTTATTAGCAGTTAATCATTGGGAAATTCCAGGAGGATGGTTCATGGACTCTGATAAACCTCCAGCTTAAAATGATGAAATCCCAGCTCAAACTGACTTAAGCTAATTGGAAATGTTGAAAATGTTCAGTGTGTTATTGACTAGAAAGTCAAGAAATGTGCCTATGAGTTTCAGACAAGGCAGGATCCCATCTTTGAGCTCTGCTTTATCTCCACTGCTTATGAACGTTTTTAAACAATCCAGAAGGATTGACAGGAGGCAGGTGCATTTTACATAGTCTGTCCTACAGTTTGTATCCCCTGCAATGACAGCCTTCTCCAAGAGGATGCCATTTTCCTCTTGGCTAGACAAGAAAGTAACTGCACACAGGCAGACAAGTAGCACTTGATTTCGGTATCACTTACCCTTCATAAAGGTCACCCTTTTCTTCCTAGTTTTGGCCAGACACCTTCTGTGGTTCAAGACTGATGGTTTTGCTTCAGTTGGTCCAGCAAAGAGTTTGTGTACTAGGAAATGAAGCCTTCAGTCCATGCCTCCTCCATGACCCTCAGTGAGCTATAGTCACAACTACCACATCCTGTGTATGTGTAGCCAAAAGGATTCTCCCTCCTTGGGTTACACTTGATCACAAGCTTTTTACTTTTCCCCCTCTTCTTTGTCTTTCCACATTTCTCCTCGTTTCCTCCCTAACCTTCTTTTGCCCAGCTCGCTTCCTGTAACCAGAGGAACACCAGAAAAAATAAAGATGTGCCAGCTGACAGTATGAAAGGAAAGTAAGTGTGTTCTCTCCAGATCTAGCTACTAGAAAGCCTGTTACATGTGATATAAAACTAACCACAAAGACAAATGACAAAAGATCAAGACTTGGGAGTTCAGAGAGTATTGTTGTACTTAGTACCTGCATTCAGGTAAATTCACAGGTAGAAATTCAACCAGAATTAGTCCAACTAAGCTGGAGCTTCCCATTCTGTCTAATCTTGCTGCATCTACACCCAGGGCCCTGATAACCCGTCTCTAGACAGCTAATGAAACGCCCTACTATGATGGGCTCTGTAGAACTTTTTATTTTTCCCATTTTTTTATCTGCTCACATCCATTTTCCGATCACTGGGATTCTGTACCAGCCTGCATCCATTTCAAGGAAAATACTGAGCACTCCTAAGATGAGAGCACTCCTACAGATACAACAGAATGGAAGGAGCCAAGCTCCCTCATGTCACAGGGCAGCTGCCAGACAGGAAAATGCTTCTAAGGGCATTGTACATAGGCCCTTCCAAGGTCTTCTCACTCAACACTCCTGTAACTAGTTCTTCTGTCTTCCTGGAACATTGGGATTATAAATGGAACCCAGATGTTGGCTGTGTCCTTCTT